GTATTTACATCTGTTCCTGACCCAGACTTTCCCGGCCATGTCTTGTTGGAACAATTCCAAGCTCAGGTAAGATACCTCCATATTGCGGACACTTCTGTTACAGTCACATCTATAATACGACCTCGTCTATGTGATGGACACCATATTTCGAAACCTCTATGTATTATGATCTCGTCTATATTACCTCCATATTACGGACACTTCTGTCACAGTCACTCCCATAATACGACCTTTTCTATATGGTGGACACCTCTATATTTCGAAACCTCTAAGTATTATGAACTCTTCTGTATTACAAACTCCTCCATATTACGGGCACGGCTATAATAATGACGCCTCTATATGGTGGACACCTCCATATTTCGAAACCTCTATGCATGCTATGTGAATAGCTAAAACAATGTCAATTTAGGTTGGTGCTGCTTTGAGGCCTGCGTTTGCTCCTGACATGCCGTCTGATGTGACAGCAATGGCGTCAGAGGTTAGTAAAAGCCTTTTTCGTACTGTGTGGTTAACTATCACAAGAAATRCATATCAACRACATAATCATCAATGGAACATGGTCAAACAGCAATGCGGTTATTTTTTTGTCAGATATAGTTAATAAGGTAGTTTCAAATATCCATGCGCTTTCCTTTTCCATTCGTCTGTTATTATCCATTCGTCAAAGGRATAATGAAGAGTAAATTGTTGCTTGTAGGAAGAGTTTTTTTTATTTAAAAACAAAGACAAAAGCCGGAAAGAGATGAAGGTTGATCATTGCCCTTAAACGTCATATTTATCATCATCATATGCACAGATAATCATTRTCRTCAGTCTAATAGTCGTGTGGATAAATAATGATATCATGTCCATTGTTTAGGTGTGCAGTTCGTGGATTGCTGGTGGCATCGCAAGAGATTTAAACGACGTGCGACGCATACAACAGCTGTTGGTCACCAAACTCTCCAAGTTTAGTGTCAGTAAAGAAGCAGCTCTACAACTTTACAACGAAGCTGCAACAACGATGGAAAAACTCGCCGTTCTTAAAGC